GGCTGCGGGGTGGTCGTGTCACAGAGGACAGGGAGGGCGTTGGAGCGGAAGGTGATCTCCAGCAGACTGTCCTGGGAGCCTGCTGCAAGAGAAGGGCATGGCTGAGAGGCAGGCAGTGCCACCATGGCTCATCCAGGCGATCCTCGTCCACCCCAGCTGGCTGCAGACTGGCCAGAGGAGGACGGTCTGGGGCCATTTGGGTGCTAGCCTCCCCACCACCACCGTTTAGAGGGGGTCACTTGGTGCTACTGGTGCCAGGAGCTGCTGCTGGCCAGCAAAGTGCCAGTTGATGGCCACGTCTGCTGGAGAGGAAGGTCAAGGTGGGGCTCTTGAGCAGGTAAAGAGTTGGCCTAGACCATGCAGCCACTGGGGAAAGTGGACATACAGCCAATGGACATACGTGCCTGTCCACACAGCACTCCCCGTGCCCCTTCCCACGCTGCATGCGAGCACCCTGCCGCACACACAAGCCAGGCCAGAAGGGCATTGCGTATTCCCCCGCACAAAAGCACCAGAAACGCACAAAAACCCCAAGAGAAACACCCACACGCACGTCCTCCACAGACCCGGCTAGCCGTGAGGGGAGAGGAAGGGGCAGGAGCGCTTACTGGTGGTGTTCCCCGCCAGCTTCAGCTCCAGCTCCTGCACCTGTTTGACCAGGAGCGAGATGTGCTGCAGCAAGTCCTTGTTCTGGAGCAGGAGCTGGTGCACACGAGCCTGGGCCTCCAGCCGCGCCGCCGCCTCCGCGGCCAGCTGGTCCTTCAGCAAGTGGACCTGTGCGACAGGAGAGAGCGGGTGAGCGCGTGGGAGATGCTGCTCGAGGGCTGAGAGCTTCAACTCCGGCCACCCCTGCTCCTCCACCAGCGCTCACCAGCACCCCACCAAACAATCGGATGAAGCAGCCATTCCCTGAGGGGATCTGCAGACGTGATGGGGAGAGTGGGGGCAGGCGGCAGCGTCACACTAGGGCACGCTCAGCAAATCCAGCGCACGGTCCCCTGGCCTCTCTGATGGAAAAGCCCGAGGCTAAGGAAGGTGGCGCTGACCGAACCGTCGGTCGTGCACGCGTGCCACAAATGCATGAGGGAAGGGTAGCCCAGGAAGAAGCCAGATGGATGCGGAAGACACGCTCGACTGACTGGCTGGTGCTGCTGGTACACAAGGGTG